CGCCCAACAGGCAGCCATGGCTGCAGTCGAAGCGGAAGCGAAGCAGGAAACAACGGCAGAACCCTCGGGGTCCTCGATCGATTTCTCCGAGTATACTCATCGCATAGTCTCATTCCTAGCCAGAAACTTCTACAACCTGAAATACGTGGCTCTGGTTCTCGCCTTCTGTATCAACTTCATGCTACTCTTCTACAAGGCGAGCATAACTTTCCGCTTAGAACACCGACGAAACGGTAAAATTGCGCATCGTGTTACGTCTCTCATTGTTGGCTCGCAGGTTTCGTCGTTCGACGACGAAGGAGACGAAGAGGGCAGCGGTGGAATAGCAGACATACTGGCAGAGATGTCTGGCGAGGGTCCATCTGGTTCCGGAAACGGCAGCGGCCCGGAAATGGGAAGTGGAAGCGGGGAGAACGAGGAGTCTGAAGAGGAGGAGGACGTGTACGCTCTGGAATACGTGGAAGTTTCGGAGGATTTCTACTACATGGCTCACGTTATAAGACTCATGGCTATTCTTCATGCTATCGTCTCTCTTGCTATGCTGGTCGCCTACTATCACTTGAAAGTACGAGGATTGAAGTTGTGCTTTCGTGTATGCAAATTTTAAACGGGTGGAGAAGGTGTTTGTGTTGATACGTGGATGTTACCGTTGCGTAGGTACCATTGGCTATCTTCAAACGGGAAAAGGAAATTGCTCGACGAGTGGAGTTCGATGGTCTCTACATTGCTGAAACGCCGGAAGAGGATGACATCAAGGCGCATTGGGATAAGATGGTGATATCGGCGAAAACCTTCCCTGTGAACTATTGGGACAAGTTCGTGAAGAAGAAAGTGAGACAGAAGTACAGCGAGACCTATGATTTCGATTATATCAGCAACTTGCTTGGCATGGAGAAGACTTCGTTCAGTCAGCAGGAGGAAGAGGGTTCTGGTTTGATACACTTGTGAGTAAAATTGTGCAATTCTATCTGAGTATTCGAATTTCTTGATTACCATTTTTTGTTTTTGATACACTTATGAGTAAAACTCTTGCTATCCAAGTATTTAAATTTCTTGATTTTTGTTCCTTGACCATTTTTTCTTCTTCTCGTAGCATTGTAAATATCGACTGGAGGTACCAAGTATGGAAAGCTGGAGTCACCATCACGGATAACGTAAGAGTGTTCGATAATAACCGTAAAATTTGATTTAATTATTAGTACTAAATTGATGTAATTTCGTCTTCAGGCATTTTTATACAGTCTCTGGTACTTCACATTTTCGATCCTTGGCAACTACAACAATTTCTTCTTCGCTGCTCACTTGCTGGATGTCGCGGTTGGTTTCAAGACTCTCAGGACGATCTTGCAGTCCGTAACACACAACGGAAAGCAACTGGTGTTGACAGTGATGTTGCTGACTATCGTCGTATATATATACACAGTCATAGCGTTCAACTTCTTTAGGAAATTCTATATTCAGGAAGAGGACGACGAAGTGGATAAAAAATGTCACGACATGTTGACAGTAAGATATAGAAAATCCTTTGATCAATGTCTCTAAATTTCAAAATTTTCAAAATTTCGAAATGAATTTAATCTTTGTGGAAGGAGGTATTAAAATTCGATGATTTTTGTGTTTCAGTGCTTCGTTTTCCACCTGTACAAAGGTGTCAGAGCTGGTGGTGGTATCGGTGACGAAATTGGCGAACCTGATGGCGATGACTACGAAGTCTATCGTATCATGTTTGACATCACTTTCTTCTTTTTCGTCATTGTCATTCTACTGGCTATTATTCAGGGTAAATGGAGATAAATTCTACTGTCTTTGATAGTTTTTTTTTTTTTTCTCTGATGCTAAAATGTTAGATTTTTCATTTTACTTCAGGTTTGATTATCGACGCGTTCGGTGAGCTTCGAGACCAGCTCGAGAACGTG